ATTTAAAGCTGGGAAGCATGAAGGGAGAAAGGGAAAGAAGTGGGAGGGGCTTCGTAGGGAAAGTTTGGCCAAACGGGGACAAATCATTAAATCAAAGAGGCCTGCCTCAATCAATGAATCACATTCACAGCATCTTATCAACAACACCCAAAATAATATAACAATAAATGCCATAATGCCCTCCAACCTTCATCATCACCAACATCACACTCCACTTCCTTTGCCTTGCCTTCCCTTTCCTACTCTCTCTTCCCGCTAAACCTGTGGGCTCTCCTATGACCATTGAACCCCAGTCAAACTTACCATGATTTTTTTTTTTTTTACCCAGCATCGTAATCTTATATGTTTATGGTATATTCAACATCTTGAATCCTAAAGATTATGAGGTTAAATAGTAAATGTAACTGAAAAAATAATATAAAAATATTGGATACATATTTTTTCTGAGATCAAAACAGATGCTAGGAATCTTTCTGGACCAAATTTAAACTGAGAACTTCCCTATTGCATTAATCGTGATGACATAGGTACGCATGTCGATTCAAAGTGTTGCCTTTGCTTTTTAAGTGAATAATTAGTTAAGACGGCTACTCTTCGTGTGTGTGTGTGAGACAGAGCATTCGTTTTTGGATATTCAAATCCAGCAAGTTCTCAGATATGGGAAACATCGGATTTAGAATTCTAAGACAGACGCCAAGCATGCCTCGAACCTGCTAAGTTTCGGCTTGTTTACAACTGTGATCTATAAACACTTATGAGCATGCTTATATAAGTCAAGAGAACACTGCTTATAAGTGTTTAGGATCATGATTGAAATCCCCAAACGCACTTATCTATGTAATTTAAGATAAAACTCTTATCACGTACTTATTTATAATATTTTATAGATTATGATTAAAATACTGTTTTTAAAATATTCTCCAGTCATTTCAAACAAACCCTAAGTCATTCCAACGTACAACTGTAGCATGTTTTAATCACGCGGCTGCAATATCAGCTGGTTAGATTACCTTGCTCGGTCTTGTGTTTTTTTTTTTTTTTGACATTGAATCTTTTACTTGGACTTAACAATAATCAAATTTGACCTCATGACATTGAATACCATATATTGTCACACGAAATGATTGATCTTCGGGCATTCGAAAGGAAACCTTGTTACGTATTTTTCAGAAAATTATTGATAATTAATGGCACGAACTGGTCTCTTTTCACAATAAATGACGGCGGATTTTCGTCGTTCATGGCTATTTTACATGAACTATACCAAATTAAATAATTAATATATATTTTTAAATTTGGGTGAAAGTCCTTTTATGCAAGTAGTGAACTTTTAGGTACCATTTGATATAAAACATTAAAAATAAGATGTAGGGGTTGGTATTATGATTGGAAAGATATATTAAAAGAGCGTTTAGCATGAGAAACTGCTTATTACATGAAACTGAGTAAATCCATGTAACAAGTAATTACCCATACTAATTATTTTTTAATAATTTTTCTTAATTATAATATTAATTTTTATCTTTTATTTTTAATATCTCCTGACAAACGGGACGTTAAAGTTTAGGTGGTAATTAATGTGACGAGTGAATGTAGTATATACAAAACGCCCCATAGATTACATACAAAAATCCTGTAAAAAGGGTGGGGGGTTAGTGGCATAACTAAGAAATAGGATTTGCAGGAAACTATTTTAATAAGTGAGGGCATAAAGTGAAAAGTATTTGGTCACAAAACAAAAGGTCTTCTCACAAGAAAGTGAAGGCCTCAGAAGAAGACACTTTGACACCATGCCTTTTTCTTTTACCTTCATGTTTCCTCTCTCTATGTATTTTAAGCAGGGCGAGTTGAGAAATTAATATAGAAAAAACGTCCTTAATTTTTTTGTGCGTGTTCGTTCTGCTGTGCAAATTCAAATCTTCAATGCTAAATTATAACACTAATCCAAAAGCACAGAAGCAACAAAATTGGTTGCTCTCTCTCAGGAGCTTTTTTGTGAAAGATTCCGTTTCATTTTTACCAGGAGGAGGAGGGTGGTGGGACGCGAGGAAAAGGCGCGTGGAGAAGGAAGGGGGGCAAAACCAGATGGACAATGAGTGGCAACCCGTTTTGTCCGGGTTATCCGAGATAGGGTCTGGACCATCAGAATTATGGACTTGTAGGGTAGCCTCCGCTGCTCCTCTCTCTCTCTCCCCCCTCATTCCTCTTTCTCTCTCCTATTTTCTCCTTGTAGGGTAGCCTCCGCTGCTCCTCTCTCTCTCTCTTCCCCTCATTCCTCTTTCTCTCTCCTATTTTCTCCTTAAAGTAAATATCACATTCACCCTCAGCGTCCCCGTCCCCCAAAATCGGATTTTTTATTTCATTATACTGCTTCCTCGGATCTTAAATATGAAAGTTAGCTGGATAATTTAAAAATATCAAAAAAATAAATTAAATTAGTTATTTATAATAAATAAATATTATTTTTTTAAAATATCTTTACTAATCAAATGTATTAGCTAGAACTACTATTATTAAAAGAACTACCTTAGAAAAAAAGTATAAATATAAAAGATAAAATAGATTGGGGTCTTATATTTAAAATTAAAATAAAAATGAAATAAAATATTATATTAAAAACTAGAGGTAGTATTAAATTTACATTAATAATTCTCTTAATAAAATGCTTACAATTTCTTATTACAGAGTCACCATCATATGCTTAAACTTTCTTGTCATAATAAAAAGAAATATAGCAGGATTTTTCATTTATATTAATATAAGACACATTTAGCTAATTTGATTAGATTAAGAAAGTTAGGTATGTTAGTTAATTATAAGAAATGTGACACGTTTTTCCTAAAACACTATAATCATCTTTCTTAATACCCTGTCTCCCTTTTCTACTTGATTATGGTTTAGGGAGTATCCATATGAGTAATTTAGAGAAAATTGATAAATATGAGTAATGAATCATATATTTAGAATCAAAACCAGATCCTATATTAATGAATATTAAATTTAAGAGTAGCTTATCTCACTACAGAGTCTAGAGGCTAGTCATGTCGTTAAAATTTTATGAGTACTACAAGGGTTGGAATTTTAAATTTTTACTTACATTCTTATTGAATAGTGTGAGATGACTTCAGTTCAGTTTTAAATTTTTGTGCATGGCTTTAATTCATTTTAATGTTAAACATTTTTCGGCCAGTGTAAACTAAAATGACGTTGAAAATAAGAACCAGTTGAATCTATCGAGATTACATCCAATAATGAAATTTAATCGGCATCAATGTATCCATACAATCCGTATTAATATGTGTAATAAAATTCATAACAAGTTATAATATTTATAAAATATTCATGACACCATATAACAAGTAAAAAGGAATGCGTGGTTTTATGATAAATCATCAACATTGAACATTTTTTCCTAAAAAATCGTACGCATATTTAAGATGATTTAAAGTTAAGGGGAGATAGAACAGAGAGGGGTGAGAAAGTGTAGATATGAATAGGATGAATTACTGTATTATTTCAAATAAGAAATATAATTAGTAACAACTTTTAATAACAACAAAAAGTCTGCAATAACAAGTTTCAAAATAATAAATAATAAATATTCTCTTATTATTGGGATTTACTAGTAATTACGGAGTATTTTCTTTTTTTCAGACCTTGTAATTCTGCCATATAAATATCTTTGCTGCTTATTTTTCAAAAGGTCAAAAAAGAGACAACGGATGTGTATTTTGTAAATATACATAATAAGAGTGATAATGCCACAATTAGGGGGACCGTGGAGCAATATGTAGCGCGTTTTTTGCTTCTAAAAAAGGAAAAAGAAAAAACGCAGTGGTGTTATAGGAGAATGAGATGATGCTTGTTGTTGTGGCGGGATGGATGAGTGTCATGAGTTGTGCCTAATTCTGCTTTTCTCAAACAATATTATGATCCCACGCCTTTTTCGCATTTTAGATAGCAACATGGCATTCCATGAAAGCTCTTTCTCAACCCCCCCTCTCTCTTTCTCTCTCTTAAATGTCAATTCATAAAGAAGCCCCCATCACCGTTGGACGCTTCATTAATGATGAAGGCAGTTGAAAAATAGGAGCACCCTGTCATGAACACTCATGGTGGGAAGGTTATTTTGAAGCAAGGATTCTTCCACTTTAACTATTAGTCTTTTGGGGTGTGATGTTTTCAACAACCTCTGCTCGTGAGGGGCTGACCAAAGCAGGTGTCTTAACATTATCTTTTAGTTGGAAAAGAAAAAACAAATGAGCAATTTTCCTTGGAAAAATTAAAAATTTTCTTTAAATTTTACTGAGCACGATATACACATAAGAATATGTGTATTTTAGTTCAAGTTATTATTACTGATAAAATTTTCAATGACCCCCCCCCCCAAAAAATTTCTCATCTCTCTTCGTCTGCATGGAAGATGTTTGAAATATTTTGTGTAAAGAATCAGAGGAATACTGTTCAATTCAGATCTTATTTATTCATAGGTAGGTCATAGCAAAAAATAAATGGAGAAAAGTTTGATATATAGAGAGACACAATCTAAGTTGTAGGCATGGGCATTAATGATTAACTAACATGTCAAATATAAAAAGCAAGCGAATAGCTCCAAATTTGCAAAGGGTGGCCTAAGATGGCTTTTATGATCTTAGGCTAGGAAGCATAAATATAAAACTTTTCATTAATTTCCCAATTCCCTAATTGGTTAGGCACAATGACCCGGATTTGCCATTGCTTTTTGTCTAAGAAAACAGCTAATAATTGTGACAGGACTGTAATGGTAAAGTCAAAACTAATGGTAGGCAAAGTAATTAGGCCTTTCTAAAGTGAAAAAAGAGAAGATGATTTTGCTTAAATTAAAAAAATAAAATAGTATGCTACTTTCAAACGATCGCCAGCCCCATTTTATCTCCCACTTGTCCATGTTTTGCTGCTAACTCTCATCATTAATCACCAAAGCCTGCCAAACCCTAACCTGAGAGCAACTAAAGATATTCTTATTCTCATCATCTCCTACATACTGGTTAGCCCACTCAGATGAATTTTACAAATTCGGACAAAAACCCTTATACAGAATTGCAGAAAATGGTAGTAGTACAATAGCCTGTGTTGTTGGTCTCTCGGGTTCGTACTAGCAAAGAACAGGGTACCAGAATAAGGAGGAGGATCCGTAAAAGGTTGAACGGCACGGTCAACAACACAAACAAAATCCCCACAAAACCCATGTAGAGAAATGAGATCAGGGGCTTAATTTCTCAGAGAGAGCTTCAAATTTTGGAAGATGATAAGGGAGAGGAGGGCATAGGTGTGAGATTTGGCGGAGTAGAAGGGGACAGAATAGACATCCGCCCGGAAATACAGGACGCCGTACAGTCATAAATACTCTTTTTGATTCAGTTTCTCGTGAATTTTTTTTCATTATTGGAATTTAACCAACACAATAGCCTCACAAGTGAGGCACTACAGTCTTGATTCTTTATTATCGCTCTTCTTCTCTCTCTCTTTCTCTCTCTGTCTCTGCCACACATCACACCCAAACAGTCGCAGCATTGCAGGTTTGCAGCAATTGCAGGCAGCACTGCTGCTGCAGCAGCAGCTTCACAGCCTACAGACAAGCAAAAGAAAGAAAAGAGAAATGAGTAAGGCAGGGAAGAGGGAGAAAAGGCCATTTTTATGAGACTCCAACTTAAATCACAATGAAAGCTTGATTTGATGCAAACCCAAAAACTCCCCATTCAGTCACTCATTCAGTCTCCTCAGCGAGAAAAAAGTTAAAGAAAGAGCCCAAAAAAAGAAACAAAGGAAAATTAGCAGAGAGTGATAGGTCAGTGGGAGGTGAGAGAGAGAGAGAGACACACACAGAAAGAGAGTCTCTTTCTTTTTGGAGTATTGGGTCAGCTTCTTTTGGCAATGCCAAAGGTGCTCCCACCTCACGCTCTCTGAAAATGCTCAGGCATGAAATCACTCTCTTGAAATCCCTCCTTCCTCCAAGGCTTTTATCTCCAGCTTTTGCGCAACCCTCTTCCCTTTGTTGTTAGATTCTTTAGCATTGTCTCTAGGGCTTTGTTTCCTGTGATGGGTTTGATCGATCTCAACACTACTGAGGACGACGAAACGCCGTCGTCGGGTTCCTCTGCTTCATTGTCCTCTCACTCCGGTAATAGCATTTCGGCCTCCACCTACCCTTCTCCTTCGTCCGTGTGCTTGGAGCTATGGCACGCGTGCGCGGGTCCAATGATTTCGCTACCAAAAAAAGGAAGCATCGTGGTTTACTTCCCACAGGGCCACCTTGAGCAGCAGGCTCAGGATCTTCCGGTCTCCGCTTACAATATCCCACCCCATGTTTTCTGTCGCGTTGCAGATGTTAAGCTCCATGTAAGTGTTCCATGTTTCTTTACCTTTTCTGTTTTATTTGTATGTTCAGAATTCGATTTCGTTATGTGGGTAAAATGTAGGGTTTCTGTTACGCCGCTTAGAAAATTGATGTTCTAAGAACTGTAAATTGCTTATGTTTTGTGGTTATGCACTGTTTAAGTGCTTGAAAAAATATATCTTCTGCTGCTATTTCTTTCTTCTCTGCATTAATATTCACTACATACAAGCCATATTGAAGGTAACCAGAATATGGTTTATATTAATTTTAAGCAAAATACGTGTGCTTTTTTCCTGTGCAGGCGGAGGAAGGTATAGACGAGGTGTACTGTCAGGTGTCGCTGGTTCCTGAAAGTGAGGTGAGCTATCTTTTCTATGGTTGTTTGATTTGTTTGAGTGTTTGGGGGAGATGCTGAAAAAGGAAGGAAAACGAGGAATCTTAGCATGTTAATCGTGAATTCGTAAGGTGCCTAGTCTTGAAACATATGATGTTGGCTAAAAAGACCGTTTATGATGCTATGATAGAGTATGGTGTTGTAGTACAAGTTATGTTTATAGGATTAGATAGGTCCTATCAGGGTGCCATACACAGCCTTGTCCTCAGTCCCAGTTTTGGGTCCGTCAACAACCCCACCAGAGGAGGAAGGTGGTTAAATATAAATATAACCGGCTTATTACAATAGGAGAGAAAGACAGTTGAAGAGACAATAGAGTACCTTCTACGTTTGGTTTAAAATTTGCATAAACTTGATCATTGTCATAGCAAGCTGAAAGAAGATTTCGGGAAGGTGAAATCGATGCTGACTGTGAAGATGAGGATGCTGCAGCTGCAGTGAAGTCTACAACGCCACATATGTTCTGCAAGACCCTGACAGCTTCTGATACTAGCACTCATGGGGGATTCTCTGTGCCTAGGCGTGCAGCTGAAGATTGCTTTCCTCCGCTGGTAATTATGCTTTATGATTTCTTTCTTCCCCTCCTGTTAGCGTGACCCTGTTCTAGTGTTTATTTGGTCATTTTATTGGGGCTTAACCTTTTGCTTAAGCTGTTCTGTAACCAGAACTGTGTTTGTCTTTCTATATGAATGCTTAAACGGTTATTAGGTGGTAATTTTGGTGAATTTTTATTTCAGGATTACAATCAACAGCGTCCTTCGCAAGAACTTGTGGCAAAGGATCTGCATGGCCTGGAGTGGAAGTTCAGGCATATTTACAGGGGTGTGTTACTTGTGTCATGTTTTCTCATTCCTATGTTTGAGGCTATAATTTCTGGAGTTGACTTGAAAAATGTGTCCTGTTCTGGTCTCTATTTTGGATGTTTGAATATATGAGCAGGGCAGCCTCGCAGGCATTTGCTTACAACTGGTTGGAGTGCATTTGTAAACAAGAAGAAACTTGTGTCTGGAGATGCTGTACTGTTTCTGAGGTATAAAGAGTTGATTCCACCAAACATTGATTAATTTTCTCAAACATGGATAACATTTTAAGTTTTATGCCAGGGGTGAAGATGGAGTTCTGAGATTAGGGATTCGCAGGGCATCTCAGTTGAAATGTGGTGCTAACTTTTCAGTTCCCGCTGGCCTGCATCTTAATCCCAGCAGTTTCATGGATGTGGTCAATGCAATATCTGCAAGATGTGCCTTTAGCGTTTGCTATAATCCAAGGTAGTTTTCTGCTTCTTTTGCTTTTTCTTCTGCAGTAAATACAAATATGATCCTATTTTGCAGAGCGTAATGCTGGTTAAAATGCATGACTTCGGAAGGGTGTTTTGCTAAGTTACCCCACATGCACCGAACTCATCTTGACTCTTTCTGTTTTGTCAGTTGTTGCTTCATTTCTTATTGATAGTTCTGACAGTTTTACATGTTTTCGATGATTCATAGTGATGCCTGCCAACCTTACCACTTTTATTTCGCCGTTAACCTACTAGCGCTTTGACCTGCTAGTCAACCAACGTACAGTTTTCAGTTCTTAATCCAGCCTTCAAGCTGATAACTAATGATCCAAAATAATATCACAAGAACTCCTTGATATGGCTAATGTTGCTATTTTTATTGCTAATGCATTGTCTGGCTGAGTTAATTCCACAAGAAAACCGAATCTTGATGGAAAAAATGAGTTATAATCGTACTGTAGAATTTAGGGCCTATTGTCTGAGTTTATGAACACTGGTCGAACAGTGCAGCCTGAGATGTGTGTCTGTGGGGTTTAAGCCTTCGTTAGTTGTCTGTGGTCCACTAAGTAGTAGTCACTATTCTCTGATGTTTTTATTTGTTGCTACCTTTGTTTTCTGATTAGGGTCTTCCACCTAATATTTGTGGTTTGATTGTAGGGTGAGCTCGTCAGAGTTCATAATTCCACTCAACAAATTTTTGAAGGGCCTTGATCAATTTTATTCAGCTGGAATGAGGTTCAGGATGCGTTTTGAAACTGAAGATGCTGCAGAACGAAGGTTTGTCTTGCATGTGTTACAGCATTTAGATAGTGTATCAGCAGCAAATCTTAGATTTTTTTTCTTTTTGGGCAGGTGCACAGGATTAGTTGTTGGAATTGGCGATGCAGATCCTGTTAGATGGCCCGGATCTAAATGGAGATGCCTTATGGTATGGTCTTGGGATCATTTTTTCACTTTAAATATTGTTTAGATTTACATGTGTGGGATTAGTTTGTTACTTTACATGCATGTGACTGTGGTGTGGCCCTGCGGCAATAATTCACTAAACATGAAACAAACAAGCGAAATGAAACAAAAACAGCAATAAATGAGGAAAAATCCCGAGGCTTTGATATTAATATTCAAATGTTGAATCAAAGATACATCAAGCTTCAATAATTCAAGCCAAAGCCCTATTTCCCTCTAAACCAAAATGAACACAGCAGCAACTACTCAACAAAAGATTACATTGAGACATGAGGAACATAGCTAGCACTCTCCCATGGTATTCGAGAGGCCAGGTCTCTCCCTCCCCAACACACTTCAACAATAAGTCCTGAAAACAATCCAGTTCCATTACAAAGCAATGTAGTCTCCCAAAAGTAGTCCCACACACCCTACAAGGTTTTAGACTCAAAAGACTAGTAGCTTGCTGCAAATTAGAGTTGCTCCTCATTTCTTGGAGCTCTAGGATAAATGCTTTGACCAGTGGATTCATCTTCTTCTATCCTTGGCTGCTTCCGTAATTTCCTCCCATATGTCTTCCTAATACCAGCGGTTATCTCAGACTGCTTGAACTTCCAATTTGTAAGCCTCCAGGATCACTTTGCTTCATGACCTTTTAATAGATCTTATATTGCTAATCGTAGAGAACCCAAAAGTTTTTTCGCCTACTTGCTGCATCTCATTCCTTGTTTGGGGAGGGAGGCTGGGTAAAATATCTAATGACAAGGCTTCTGAAAGTGGCTTTTGACGTTGATTTTGGACAAATGAGGATATTTCCTTGATTACCAGCAGTTACCTAAATTTCAATAAAGTGGCTAGGATTCCGATTCTAGTCAAAATCACTTGTTACACAATGAATGAGTGACATAAACCCCCGTACTCACTCGTAGTTACACATTAACTTAGATTGCGTTTTCTTGTGGAATAAGGAATTTGTTCTAGTTGCACTTCCAACTTGGTTAGGACTGGCAGGTCGTACCTGTCAATAATTTATTCACACATGTCTTGTCTTTCATTTGAGGTACTAATTGTTATAACTGGTTGCTGGATGTTTCCCATCTTTGCAGGTAAGGTGGGAAGATATGGAAGCCACTAGGCATAACAGGGTTTCCCCGTGGGAAATTGAGCCATCCGGTTCTGCTTCCTCTCCCAACAACTTCAATGCAGCTGGTTTAAAGAGGACCAGGATTGGTTTGCCTTCTTCAAAACAAGAATTTCCAGTTCCAAGTTAGTCTATTAGGAAATCTTCTGGAGCTTATAGTTTGTGTTATCCTTATACCTGTCACTTTTCTGATGCTTTATTTTCTGCTGTTAGATGGGATTGGGACACCAGACTTTGGGGAATCATTGAGGTTCCAGAAGGTCTTGCAAGGTCAAGAAATTTTGGGTGTTAATATTCCTTTTGATGGTATTAGTGCTCAGAGCCACCCCTTTTCTGAAATAAGTAGGCGCCATCCTGGTTCAAGCGTTTCTGGGATTGCCGCTACAGGAAATAATTTCAGAATTCCACAGGTGCATTCTGATGTTTCGTGCAATGGCATAGGCTTTAGTGAATCTTTTCGATTCCAGAAGGTCTTGCAAGGTCAAGAAATACTTCCAAGCCAACCGTATGGAAGAGCCTTTTCTGGTAATGATGTTCAAGGAAATGGTCGCTATGGAATTTTCGACAGTTGTCAAGTGCCGCGTCCCAGGAATGGATGGGCTGCCTCAGTGCAGGATAATTCTGCCAATGTGCATCCTTCTGTTCCATCCGGGCAAGTGTCATCTCCATCATCGGTTTTCATGTTTCAGCAAGCAGCAAATCCTACTCCCAACCATGACTACCATAATAGCACTACAAATCAGAGGATGGAGAGTAAAATGCAACGTCGAGGACAGCACGCGTCTGAAATCAGAGCCGGAAAATTTGCATCGGTCTCATCTTACGGGCCTAGTTTCTGGGGGCATACTCAGGGAAGAAGTAAATCTATTGGCATGTTTGAGCATGGACAAATGGACACTTCACCATCTCATGATTCTGTATCACCGCGGAGAGATGGTCAAGAGCTGACTTCGTCCTATAAAAGTAGCTGCAGGCTCTTCGGTTTTTCATTGACTCAGGAAAATCACATTGCGAATTGCAAGTGAGGAGGCTATCCGCCAAGTCCCTTCCATGGCATTCACTAGGGAGCAAAGGTAGTCTGAGGCAACTGTACTTAAGTAAAAGCTAGCTGTTTTCAGTTAGAAACCTGATGTTTTCAAAGAAACCTGATATTTGATTGATGTGATGCTGATATTTGATTCAAGTAATGTGGTTACTTTTGCTGAATAGAACTCGGAGGTTTTCCAGCTGTATTCTTTTTATAAATGACGACTGTAATTGAAGCACTATAAATTGTAGATGAGAACTCATTTTTGGAATTAAAATTAATGAGTAGGGGTTCTGGCTTGATCGCAAATATAAAATATTAATTTACTTTGTTTTTTTACATAATTTATTTTTAAAAAATATTTTTATGATTATACATGTTAATGGGATTTCTATTAAAGAGCAGATATTTTAAGGATGTCAACTTATGTTTGTTCGAAATAATTTTTTAAAAAATTGGTTACTAGTTTTTATATTAGGAAGGGGAGATAATAATATGGGGAAAGGATACTAGAATTTCGATAAAATTACTAAAAGACAAATTAGCTTAGGTGAATTTTAAAATTTCAAATTAAATTCCTTGTATTATTTTAGAATTTTAAAATGTTTTGAAATGACAACACTATTTTTATTTTTAGTGAATATTTTTAAAGTTTTGATGACTATTTTTATATAGTTATTAACTAAACAAAAAGAGTTGTAAATAACTAAATAAAAGTAGTCATTAGATCTCTAACAATACTTAATATATTTTTTGAATTTTTTAAATAAAGATAGTCAATAATGAAATTAGAATAGTCAATAGCTAAATAAAAGTAATTATCAAAATTTTAAAAATAAAAATAGTCAATCGTAATATTAGAGTAATCAGTAGCTAAACAAAAATAGTCATCTGAGTTTTAAAAATAAATATAGTTAATAGTTTAAAGAGTATTGACATAGTAGTCACCGAAGTTTTAATGACATGTTGTCGGAGCTTCGGCAGTTGGCCACTGGCAGGGTCGCCAGTGTCGGAACTCTACTAGCTAGAAGTGTTGAGGTAGCAATTTTTTTTTTTAAAAGTAAAGGACATTTATGTAATTTTATAATATTTAAAAATTTTAAAATAGTACAAAAGGTCTAAATTAAAATTTTGAAATTCACTCATACTGAATTGTTTTTAAGCAATTTTTAAGATATTTTATTGTCTTTTGTTTTCACCTAATAATATTTGTAAATTATAGATAATACGTAACTAAAATAAATTGATGCTTTTTCCAGAGAGGGTCACCTCTTGTGGGCTGGTGGTTTACCACTTGGGGGCTGCTTACAGTCCATGTTGTCATCTCCTCCCCACGGCCTTCCCAAAAGAAGAGAGCAATAAACTATGGTTTTGTGATTTGTGTCTGTATTGGACTAGGTCCATCTGGGATTGTAGGGCTTTGTCAATGCCGTTTGCTTAAAAGTCTCGACACCGTACTGAATACCATTTTACATTAAAAATAAAAAGTACTGAGCACCAGAAGTTGCTTGCAAAATGGATGTCTCGTTATTTTTTTTGGGCCTCGGGCAGTACAAGAAAAAAGTCTGGGCGTAAACAGTTTCAGATCACTAAGGGGGTATTTGGATAGAAACCAAACCATGGTTTCAGAAGTGCTTTTACGGATTACGAAGTAAATATGTGGAGGAGGTTATCTCGTTTTACGGAAAAGTGATTATGAAACTTTGGTTTTGGTTTTGCCAAACACCCCTAACATGATTGAACCCACAATCTCCTCCTTATATTTTACAAGAGAGTTACCACATCAATGAACAACAAGAATATTGACGTGTTAAAGCATTTTTAGCAATTACTCTTCTAATCATATTTATAAGACAAAGAGAGACAGTTTTTTTTGTCCTATTTATAAATCACTTTATTAAATTTTCTGAATGTACTATTTTGTCCTTCATTTATTATAATGTAGGTAGTTATCTCTTTTGAAAGGTATATATATTAAATATGGGTAAAGTTAAAAAGTTGTTATATTTTAATGGAGAGTTAATGTATTTTAAAAAAAAATTTTATCCGTGTCAAATATGCTGAAAGCGCCTTATAAATAAGACCAAAAAAACACATGCAATGCGTTCCATTGAATGCTAATGCCGGCTTTTCTTTTCTTTTTTCTTTTTTAATTGTTGTGCGACAAGTTTATTCACCGAAGAGCAAATCAGTCAAAGGAACTAGAAAACCAAAAGGTGTGTTAAGCAAATGAGAATCTTTATTAATCATCTCAACAAATCACAATGACCATCAACAAGTCCTACACCCTATATATATGTGGGGGCTTAAAGGTAATAAAACCCGATGCTTGCTTTGAACATCTAGAAAAATGAAGCATCCTAGAAATAACGGATCTATGTGTATATATATTTATTGATTTATTTTGAACATATTCCTAATGATGGTATCACCAAAATTAAATTACAGGCCATGCACGTTTCTTTGTAACGGGTAACGGCAGCCTTCAGACATCTTATCTAATTATTCTTTGGTCCTGTTTAGTGGGAAACGTTAAAAATAAAGGGTATGGATTGGGATTATAACTAAAAAAATCATTAAAATAATATTTAGCATGAGTAATTACTTATTATATAAGATTAGACAGACTCATAGAGGTGGGATTGAGGAATACTACTTCCCTCCATGGTATTCCCCAATCCCACATACATGGATTTGGCTAATCTCATATAATAAGCAATCTCTTAGGCTAAATATTTTTAATAGATTTTTTCAATTCTAATAATCCCTATCTCTAATTTTTAATGTTTTCTTACCAAACGCAACTTTTAATCCCATGGCACGACATGCTTACGCAGGCAAAGATTAATTACTTGATTTAATAAAACTGACTCCAGAATTAATTTCTTCTCAAGTCATGATTAATTAATTAGTTAAATATCTGGGGGCTTCCGTCATTTGCAACGTCATCAAACCTTGATTGAATGAGGCACAAGATATTATTATTATTTTGGTAATGCCATTTGGGGACCTCACGAAATAAAATTAAGTAGGTGACCACATTCCCAGTCAAGATTAGACGAGAAATATAATATTTTTAAATCCAATTTTTCTGCAGTGCTGATGCGTTTATAAAAAGAACTGCTTACGGCCAAGTGCGTTTCGTGGTTATCCCACTTCTTTTTTTAAATTGCTGGATATTGATCTTTGTAAATCATAACATGAAATTTCATTAATTAACTTGATAAATGTGGTCCCTTTTGTACTTTCTTTATGGAACCGAAATAGAACAAGGAAGGTGCGTGTGTTTACTTTCACACGGATGAAAGCGATTGAATACAAAAGACAAGAGACCGCAAATAATGCATACGTTAGGGGTTTGAATTTTTTTATTTGAAAAAATCCTTAATTCTATAAATATTAACTTTTTTTACCTATTTAAAAATATTGGATAATTTTAATTCAAGATTCTGATTTTATAAAAAAAATTGAAAAGTAAATAATTATAAAGAGTTCCCATTTTATATTACGAACAAAGCTACTTGCAATGAATTTCATACTTTACATTCGTATTTTTCGGCATATATTTTATATTGAAATTGATGAAAGTATGTGGTTAATAATTATAGTCAAAAAGGTTTCTGGACAAAACATAATCATGATGCTCCAAATCATCCTATGGTTCTTTGTCGATGTGGATGGATAGAATCAGGTCCTCTGATCTGCTTAATTATGCAACCGTGATGAACCTGTTAATTAATCCAAAACCTCACACATATATATTGTCAAGAGTAAATCATTTAATTTGTTGGCAGCGACAATTTACTTAATCTTAGTAAAACCTCATGCAACTGATTTGTGGTCCATTTAATCCCTATATATAGTTGGTCAACTTTTTTTTTTCTTTCCAATTTTAAACAATCCTTAGCCTAATATAAAAACTACATTTTTAAATGGTGTAGATGATTAGAACAACGAATTTCGTGATTTCTGAGGTGAATACATTCTAATTCCCATTTGCATTTTATTCTGAATGGGGCCTTTAAATTGGTTATCTTTTAGGGACTGTTTGGGTGAGAAAGAAAAACACCTTCAAAAAATGCTTTCATGTTAATTGAAATAAAATTTTTCGTACATACTTATTTCATATATCTTAAAATTACTTTTTAATTTAAAATTTGGTTTTCGCCCAAACAATTTTTTTTTTACACACAAGTGTTTTTCTGTTAAAAATAACTACCACGAAGCACTAACTATGAATATTTTTTCAGGTTATTATAATTTTGTCTTAACTTCATTTTATAATGATAAAAATTAGGAGTTTAGATTTCTTTCCTAAAGTGTGATGATGAAATAGAGGTTATTGTTCTAATCAACACTTAATACACACATGCACCAATTCACACTTTTCATGGGAAAAATAAT